CGATGCTCTCAGCGCCATCCCTTGGCTCACTTGCGGCGAGCTAGTGAGTTTCTCTGTAAGGGTAACGGGTGTCGACGCCATTTTCGGGCTCGTATAACAACAATTAGTATAAACACTGGGAATGGTGTGGTGACACGATGGAAGTGGATCAGGAACCTGCATGTACGTACCTTTCATCGCGAATTCACTAGTCACTACAGGTACGAAAGTTTTCTTGGAATACTGGTCATCTCTTTTCAATTGGGATTGAGGCCGTGGGCGGCTGAACTGGGGTGTAATCTCAATGTGGTTCTCGCTTTCCCAACGGGAATGTTCAACGTTTTCTTCCGTAACGTATTGTTCTARCATCAATTCTAGAGCAGCCTGCTTCGCCTGGGTTTCCGCGTCTATCAGCTCGATTTTTCTGCTAAGTTCTGCCTTTTGCTTCTCTAYCTGCTCCATTTGGCGATCTAAATCTTGTTTCTGCTTCAGCGCATCTACTCTAAGTCTCGCTTCTTCCATAAATTTCGTTTTGTCTTTTATACTAGACGAACAAGAAGCACGACTGAATCCAGATTCGGATGGGGACTTTGGTCTTTGCTTGTTGGCTCTCCACTCATTCAACAAGTTTTCTATCTGCCACTTCATGTCTCTTTGGTTTTCATAACTATCCATTAACAGTGTTCTCCTCTCTTCGTCATCTTCAATCTCCATACATATCTCGTGGGCATCGACAAACTTCCTGAACGCTTCATTGTACTTTTGGACACTATCTTCTAGTGTTACCACGTCGACTTCAGGGCTCTTCATCAATTCTTGTACTCTGTTCCACTTCTTCCTCAACTCTCCAAGATATCCTGATCTACTACGTCTATACCGAATCGCTCGTTCGGCTCTGACTTCTTCTTCGCCAAATTTCTTTGGTTCTCTAACTCTCGAAGATCTTCTAACATCGGGCTCTCGTTGTTCAGCACCAAAACCAACTACATCTTGCGTTAATGATGGCCATGTCACCTTTTTTCCACCATTCTCTACGCTTGGTTTTGCTGACACTGCTCCCTTGATTTTTTGGAATTTCTGGTTGGGCTCCCTGTGTCGCACGTGCGATTCYTCATGTACTTGCTCGTGGACTGATTTTAATCTCTCAAATCTCTCTCTTAAATCTTCACCAAATTCATCCAAATCTCTTCCATCCTGGTCGTACATCTTCTAGTTTAGGTGATTTCGGCGATTTCGATAACCAAAGTCAATGATCAATGACATTAACTTCGAATGAATTAATGATTATACGATTCGCTACAACAAACAACTTATAATTAATAAGCTTCACAAAAGGGGCAAATAAAAAGGAAAAAGAAAAAGAAAGGAAACTACTTACAAGTTAATGATGCACGCTCGACTGATTCTTGATGTTAAATATTTATGGCGCCTGCGGGGCCTCTAGTCTGCGGAAATTCTTAATCTTACACTTTCCTTTCAATTATCACATCCATCTCCCCAACTCAAAGAGAGTAAAAGGTTGCTTAGTAAATGTAAAACTGTTTTCCATTCAATTATCCCATCCATCTCCCCAACTCAAAG